AACTCTGAGTAGGCATACATAGCTGCTCAGCATCATTTGATTAGTATACTAGTTTTAAAATGTCTTTTCTAGTAGAAATTAAATGATTACTGTAGGCAGGCTAGCATTAAACTTACTGCTAATTGCACATAAGAGATATTTGAGCGACAGGAAGAATAACAAGAGCATAAGCTGCAGCAACACCCTTTAGAAGCCCCGAACTCATAGAGGAAATAACAACTGGTCACCCAAGTGAGGATCTGGAGGAATGCCTCGACAATAACGGAACCCTAAAGATCAAAAATGATAAGAGCAACAATAGTAAAGAGAAAGATAATGCTGGAGAATGCTTTGAAGGTGAAAAAAAGACAACATTTATGTGAGCCAACCCATACAATGAACCCTTTAGCCCTTCGGCACAAGAAAATGATCAACCATTACAGATAATTGAAACCAAGGAGAAAGACATACTATCACGCGAAACAACTTTGCGGACAATGAATCAGACCCTGGAGATACTCGGCCGGAGATGAAAAAAATAAGCTTTTTAGGAAATGCTAAATTTGGAGATGGTGGCAATGGAAAATGCGGAATAAGAACTATACATATGTTTGTATTTAATTCAGATATTTTTCAAAAACCGTATTATGTTCGTATTACTAAGTAACAATTAGTAAGTAATTGGAAATCATATTTAATTCAGAATCGTATTGTCAATCAAATTTTCTTTTATGGTAATAAGGAAACATATATAATAGAGACCAAGAAACTGTGACAATGTACCTGTAGAAAATTATTCTGATATCGATACATGCACATAAGTCAAGACCCAAACAGTACCAATGATATGTCATCTGCCGTCCTAAGCTAGACAATTGGAAGACTCTATCAGGTGGAAATAAAAAAGGTAGCAAAGTTACGCTGATGACACAAATCACTATAAAAGCCATACTGTATCAACATTTAATCATAAGTTTTACGGAGGTCACTTGTCCAACGAGCTGAGAAATCAAACACAAATGAAGAAATAAGATAATAACCTCTGATCGACAACCGGCATTCGCTAACAGACCATCATAATCGATCCACCTAACTAAAAACTCTATGTGTAATATGCATAAAATAAGTACAGGGAAAGTAAAAATTGTGATGTGATGCCAGTCACGTGACTAATAGTCACGATAGTGCCGCAAAGAACCTATTCCTATAATAGTACTTCAAAGTAAAAACTGTCCCAACTAAAATGTATAAAAAGATGAAAGCAAAGTAAATAAAGGACAGTGAGTTACAAAACCAAATCGAACACATCTTAAATTTCATAAAAACCCATACCTCATTGACAGTTACACCAAATGACTATCATAGTATAAAACATGTACAGCACATATCTTTTTGGCTTCATACATTAAGTCCCCTTGCCTATATTTCGGTTGGCTCCATATACAAAACATATGAAAAACATATAGTGCATATTTTCTTGGCTTCACCTGTTAAGTCCCTTGCTTATATTTTGGTTGGCTTCACATACGAAACATATGAAACACATACAGCACATATCTTCTTGGCTTTCTCTATTAAGTCCCTTTACTTATATTTCGGTTGGCTCCACATATGAAATATATAAAACACGTATAACACATATCGGCTTCACCTACAAAAAGTACAAACAAATCTTCACAAAAATATTGAAATTTATGATGTATACAAAATTATGTTATAATTATAATATATATAGTACTGTATATGGTAATTAATTGATCCAAGCAATTTTCATGGGTTTTGGTTGACAATCGACCCGAAATACTACCTCAGGTTAAACGACCAGAACTGACTATTCGGAATATCATAGTGTGTAAGGAATATAATTGTAAATACTTATTTATTTATATAAATTTAATAATACAAATAAAGTACTACTTAGAATATCATAGCATTTCAATTTAAAAAATCCAAACCTTTCACATTCTGAATATATGCTTTAGAAATCCATAACATAGTTTAACGAGATGTTCAATTTAAAGTGACTTGAGACATTTAATCATCTATTATTTTTACATGACATTATTATAACAATATGTAATAAAAGGTCATTTACTTTTGTATTCTTCCAATCAAGAATAATAATCGCTCTGTGAAAGTATATAATAGCTACGCAGTTACTAGATATTATAGACCACAGCTGTATTGTATTGTCATATATGCCTGATGCCAGTTGTGTGCCATCAGGTGAAAAGGTCACACTCCAAATGGTATCAGTATGTCCTTCAAAAGTATGTATCCTTTCTAACATTTCAACATTATGAAAAAAAATTTTCTTTTCACTAGCAATGACAAGAAAATATCCGTCTGAGGAATAGTAATGGCAGTGGCAAACATTCTCAAGATCTAAAAAAAGAAATTTACCGAATTGCAGGTCTGTCATAAAATTGCATATTGTTTATGCCCCCTTGAATTAACATTAATTAAATCATTAAGTATATTGAAATAAACCGTAACTTAAATTCACACCACCAATATGAATGCCACTTAAATTTTTTCCATTAAATAATACTTCAGCTTTATTTTAACTTGTTATTGAATTTGAAGTGGCGATTTCGAAACCAGTATCTTCTTTTGATTACTTGATAAGATTAAGAAGATTGGCTTTAAATTTACTAGTTCACTGTATATATTTTGAATCTCCATCATTTTGTGTATATTCTGTTTGAAAGCGAACAACCTCGGAATCATCTAGTATAATATACAGTACAGTAGTAGTTATTTCTAGTAAAAAAAATTTATCATATGACAAGGAATTTAGATATATAAAAAACTGGTACAACATTGAAAGAAAAGTCAGTAGAAAAAATAAACTATTTTGAATGTAGTGATTGCAACAAAAGGGTTTAAAATCCAAATATATCTAGTATCATATCCCTTCTATCTTGACAATGTTCAAAACTCAATAGATTTGCTTTTTAAAAATCTTGAAAGACACTACAAAAGAACAGCTATTTATATAGCAAATACATTAAATATCAAATTTACCAACCAGCTTCTCAAATTCAACAGTATTATCAAGCTTACCTGGCATCAACTTATGTTCTATACAGGAATCACAAGATATAAACCAGAACCTAATTGGTTTAAAATTTTTATCAATCCCTCAAATCTTAGGAAATTTTATGGTCCAATTTCCAATCCAATACCACTTTTCTGGATTGTCAATTCAAACTGAATTATATTTAAAACCCATAAAAAAACATCTGAAATTAGGAAAAGCATATTACTTAAAGACAAACATCATCTTTTAAACCAATTTAACAATCTAAGTATCCAAACTATTTATTAGATATTTCTTGCAACAACTTCTACTTTATTTCCTTTACTAGCTTATTTGCATCTTCTCTTTGAGTATCTATATATAATAATCTTAGTTGGCAAAAATTTTTCTAATCAATTGATTGTTTTCAATATAATCAACTAGTTGCAATAAAAATCCTGAATTTTGATTGGTTAATTTTGAACTTTTCAACTAATGATTTGTAATACTATTTATACAAAGTTTTTCTGCATCAAAATTCCATCTTAATAATTTACTAGAAGAAGTTTTAAATACTTTTCAAGCTCAAGAAAAACTGCTTCAATATATATATCTTCAACTTAATTTATCAATACTATTTTAACTAATGAAACTGGGTCAATTATATCTATACTCAATTTAAGCCTAAAAAAATAATATCATGGTTAATAGCTATCTTAGTATACTCTCTCAGTCTAGTACTCCAATCTTTAATATTCTCTTAACTATTTATGACATTATTCAATAGTATTAAAACTTAACAATTATTGAAATTAGAGACAATAAAAAAATTATTCAAGAAATCTCAGACAATCCAAGAAGAATAGTCAAACATAACGACTCTTCCATTACTTCAAGAATTAATATCTTAAGTTCTCAAAAGTCGATTTCTTTCTTATTTACTAAACCCAAATCAAAACTTAAAACTGACAATACCATATACTGGAATATCTTACTATTGTACTTTCTTAAAATTTCAAAAATAAATAATAGCAATCTGGGCAGTAACATTATATGATCAAAAAAAATTCTAAGGTTAATCAAGATCTATATAATACAAAAGCACATCAGTAATGGAAACTTTTGGAGAAATTCTTAGCCCTTATGACCTTGAAGTACTTACTAAATCTTTCAAATACTTCAAAAATCAAAAAAACAACTTCTATAGTGATTTAATATTCTTTAAATCAAACTTCTTTTAGAAACCTTTTTGACTCAAGCCTTTCTTAATCAACTATATTGTTAGCATAGAAATTGCTTCAGTAAGGCCTGGCGACGTGATGTTCGTGTAATGCGCCTAATCAGAGTAATGGAAATGCTTTAGAAATAAACTCATGATGTAATGAAAAGTTTAGATAGTTTATTTTATAGTCTGATAGTTT